GCTACAACGCCCCAGGGGTACTTTTGTTGTGCTCCTGTTAACTGCCGTAACTTTAAAAATCTGCCGCCACACGCTCGTAATAACTTGTGTATTTGCATCCAGTTACTTAATTCAAAGTTTGCTTTGTTTTATTAAATTTGTGATATTCAAATATGTGCATTGATCCCAAACAGATGTATAGAATTTTCCGTTTGTTCGTTTTTCATATGTGTATGTCTGTCAATTCGCGAGTGTTTTCTTTCATATATTTTAAGGTGTTTGAAATGTAGTATTTCGGTGAATAAAACCACAGGGGGTTTTTGGGAATGAAGACTGATGACGCCGTGGCCCTGCGGAGTCACCAGACGGGCACGCTGAGTCACTGTCGCTCTTCGTTTCTTTTCCTCCTAAGGAAGGATTTCGACCTCCCTAATTTTGTCTATTATTTTTTGCGCTCTCAACTCACATGCAGTATATGCTCACTTGTATGAAAGAACGTCTTCCCGCCATTTTTCAAAAACAAAAAAAAACACACAACGTGGGTTCCTATTTGTTAGACGATCACAGCCAAGGCCAAACTTTGAATTTTTAAATTTTTCGCGGGCCTTTCAAACTTTTTCAAGGTCAATTTAAAGGGGAAAGTTTGGGTTATTACAGTATCTTACTATATATAAAATAAACTTGTTAAGTACTGAGATAAAAAGTGGAGGTTAGATGGACAGAAAATTCGGAAAAGTGCCTAATTTGAACCTGGTTTGGCATCTCAAATTGGACCGGTTCAATTTAAAGTGAGTTGCCACGGTTGGCTCTTGTCGTGTGTTAGGTATATTCAGAATGTAATATTTCCAGTATTAACAGATTTATTGTTATGAAATTTTAAATATAACTTCTCCATGACCAGTAGGATAAAACGCAACAACTGATTATCATCTTTTTCTAAATTTTAGTGAACTGTAGGTCAATACCTTTATTATTTATGAAAATTTCGGGACGCGGTTTTTACCACTGTTTTCAGCTTACAAAAGTATATAACTGTTTCTTTTTCTTTTCACTGACAAAAACGGTCAATGCTTTTCCTAGGATTTATATAATTTATAAAATATTTTATAAAAATAAAAATAAAAATTTATAAAATACAAGAGAATATAACCCAACACGTCGAAAATTAACATATTGCAATTTAGAGTTTATAAAAAACCTCAACAAAATATATAATATTTCCAAAATCATTTTAAGTAACATTACCTCGGCAAATAATATTAAAATCAAAATTTTAACTGTCCTTCGATATCACATTAATTTTTTATTCACCTGTGAGCACAAAAACAAAATTGAAGAAGAAATTATAGACAAAATGGTTTCTTTAACAATATTTACTTATGTTAAAGGGTTGAATTTAATTTTAAGCGGTAAAGATACGCGAACAAAAATATTTACTAATAATGTTTATAAAAAAGCCTCGGAATTGTATAACAAAAGGTTAAAAATAAAAAATCGAAAGTATTCGTAGCATTTTCTTTTCTGTAAAAGTGCGAAAAAATAAAAAAAATAAAATAAATGTAAAGTCCTGGGAGGCCGTGGTTTTGCACCGTCACCACGCCGATAGGTGGCGCTGTACCCAAAATTTCTTAGGGACTTTGCGTTCTATATTATGGTTTTATTTTATCTATGAACCCAGTCGAAAGGTATCGACATCTGTTAGAATCATTTGGAGTTAACAGATAATTGTGACTGTCAAATAATAGCAGACAAATAATTAGCAATAAATTAAAATTGCGACTATAATTTGAGATTTAAACTATCATATCTCTCAAGTTGGATCGAACTGCACATGGTGTGCGAATTTTATTATAATCGGTTAAGTGGTTTAGGAGTCCATTGAGGACCAACATTGTGACACGAGATTTATATATATTAAGATATAAAAACCACATTAAAAAAATTTTCGTAAAAAAAATAAAAAAAAACAGTAGGTAATTCTGTTAATAATAGAGATATTGCATTCTGAAAATGTATTAAAAATCCCACGAACCAAAAGTCAGCCTTTTAAGCAATTAGAGATCTTGTTGATTTCGAGAATGTCCAAAAGAGGAAAATACGGGCGTTGGACTCAGGAGGACCTTGAAACGGTTGTTGAAGCTTATCAGTCTGACTTAATGAGTGCCAAAGAAGATTTGTACTGCCGAAAGCGACTTTAAAGAGACACTTAAACCACGAAAATAAAGTAGCCAACGATATCAAAAAAGTCGTGGGGGATCTACTATGTTTACCAAAAATCAAGAAGAAGGATTAGCAAATTATCTTCTACAAATTGAAGAGAACCTGTACGGTTTAACCATTGCAGATGTAAGGAATCTGGCTTTCGAATGAAAAAAAAAATGGCTGAGACAAAATGGTTCTATGAATTTATGAAAAGGAATCCCAAACTATCCTTACGCCAGCCAGAGTCAACTCCGATTGTTCGGGAAAAAGGCTTTAATAAACAACGAGTCATTGAATTTTTTGATATTTTAGAACAATTTGTGGATAAATATAAAATTACATCGAACACTATTTTCAACGTAGATGAATCAGGTTATAGTACGGTTCAAAAAAGAAAACCAAAAATCATTGCCCAACGCGGTAAAAGACAGGTTGGGGGAATGATGACTACGGTAGTATATGCTGCGTAAATGCAGCCGGCCTTTACATTCCACGGATGATCATTTTTAAAAGAAAGCGACGTGTTCCAGAACTAGGAATTGGAGCTTCTCCAGGTAGTATTTGCGAAATTTCTGACAGTCGATATATTACTTCGGAGTTTTTTGTTGTGTAGTTAAAACACTTTCATTCAATAGTTAAATCCGGTCCTGAGAAACCCGCCATGCTTTTATCAGATGGACATTGTACGCACGGCAAAAATTTAGAGGCCCTGCAGTTTGCAAAAGAAAACAATATCCATTTGCTCCAGTTGTCAGGTGATACATCGAATTCAGCCTTTAGATCAGCCTTTAGACGTGGCTTTCTTTAAAGCCTTGCAGGATTATTATTTGCAAGCCCAAGAATCATGGATGGGTGCTAATCCTGGAACTCTGATAGCTGTTTATAATGTGGCAGCATTGATAGGAGAGGCGTAAGGTCGTGTAGCCACTGTTGGAACTGCAGCAGAAGCCTTCAGGGAAACAGGCATTTGACCAGTAAACCATTATAAATTCCAAGATGATGACGCAGCGGAAGGCACAGAGTCTTCCACAGCAATCTTACCCCCACCAGTTGTTTGTATGGTCACTTCTTTCCCTGACCAATAGCAAAATCGCTCCTTACTTAGCTTACTCTTTCCATCAACTAGCTATAGAGATACTAGTGTATATCCTATTTTAACCAGAAGTTCGTCATTATGTGTTCACTGTTATTTTCGTTGTGTTCTTGTAGACATTGGTTATTAACTGATCATGAATGGTGCTATAACAGAATAAATTTCTACTTCACTGTTTCACTTTGCTCCCTTGATATATGTAAAATAACTATTAATTCCAGAACGAAAATTCCACCACCATACCCCGGCCAGAGACATAATAAGTCTTTATGAATTTGGGGTTGTTTAATCTAGCCAAGAAGAGTTGGCCGAATGAGCATTCTTTATTCTGTAGATGTACAAGACTGTGTCCACTGAGTTTCTTGTAGGGGAATTAATATCACCACTACAGATATTACAATTGCTAGTGCAAAACCGATATTTTGATACTTGTTCCAAAATGTTGTAATAATTACGACACGTCTACTCCATGTTCATCCCTGAAGCCCAAAAAAAACTGAACGAATGCGTTGATAGTTCTAGAAATGAAACTAGTCATACTTTCAAGTGATGTGTAACGTAAACGACCTGCTGGAAGATTAAGATGTCAATTTCAAATTACTCTTGCGCCAATAGTTACCGTACAATTTCAAATTCAAAATTTCCATTAATGCAAGGAGAGCGACCGCCATTTCCCGAGTTAATTAAGCGAAGTACCGCAACCACTTGCCACAGTTCGGTGCCATAAATTGCAGCGGAAAATAATCGTTGACGCAACGAAGACGCAACTCGGTGCCGTAAAGTTGTGTCAGCAGTGACTTGCGTTCGTGCAAATGGCTAACTTGAAACATACCCTTAAGTAAAAACTCTGTTATAATTATAGCATTTTGTTACAAAAATATTCAAGGTTTTATGTAAAATAAATTTATAATGGGACCAAATACAAGTAAAACATTATCATAATTGCTAAAATATTCCACATTAACTGAATTGTCAAGTACATATGTATTTTCATTAAATATAATACAGCAGTAGAAAAACGTGGATAAGAAAAATGGATATCGAAAAGAAAAGAAGAAGACGTACTAATCCTAGACAAAATGCTAACATTTTTTCCAAACTAACATTCTGGTTGGTAATTATGTATCTATGTATTCGTTTAAACTTTATTTGTAGGTATACCACTGATTTATTTAAGAGAGGCTTCAAGCGTGAACTAGAAGAAGAAGATCTCTATGAAGTTCTTCCCGAATTCGAATCGCGTAGTCTTGGAGACCGTGTGGAACATGTATGGGAGCAGTGCAAACATCGGCAAAACGGAATGTTTTGGGTGTTCTGGAAAATATTTGGACCGTATTATTGCATACTAAGCCTAAATATGGTCATCCACATAATATTCCGGTAGTAATTTGCTCCCTAGATAAAACGATGTTAGATAATGTTTTCTATTTTAGTGTAGTCCAACCCATGATTATTAGTAAACTCGTCTTTTTTCTTGCTCCTAATCGAAAAGAATTACATAGATCGGACATTTATTTGTACAGTGCGCTACTAATTTTACCACTGTTTGCTGAAGTAGTCTGCAGACAGAATTATTTCTTTCTTTGTGAAAATCTGATAATCAAGTTTCGCACTGCAGTTTGTACCTTCATTTATAGAAAGTTGCTCAAACTTCCAGCAAGTCGTTTGCATCGCGTTTCATTTGGGAACATTACTAATCTTATTACTAGAGATATTAATGCTTTTGATCAGTTTTTTATTAATTTCAGCTACGGATGGAGCGGATTGGTGATAACTATCGTAACATGTTGGAATATGTATCAAGTTATTGGTTTTCCAGCGGTAGTTGTCATTATTATGGTGGCCATACTGATTCCAGTTCAAGGTTTGTAGATTTATGTTGTGAGATAGAGTTTTATCATTTTGATTTATATACTCCTCCACAAAATTAACGCCTTTCGTATTTATCAAACTTTTTTGTATTCGTTGAATTTATTTAAATTTATTTAAAAATTTGACAATGAACATAATAAATGTTTGTTTTATCCATTCGTCAATTTTGTTTCTACGTAAGCTTTTAGAAATGTGAAATAATGCAAAAATTTCATATTGTGGGGAAGTGTATGACATGCTTGTTAATGTTTGGTTTTCTCTTATTAATTTTGGATTTTGAAGCCAGTCTAACATATTGAATTAAAAATTGTAATGTTGTTGTGACATATAACTTCCTAATAATTTTGTTAATTGACATTACACATCTGATACTATGGGAAATTTCAAAAAACTTCGTGCTTCCCACTATGGGATCTGTATGATTTGTCAAAATGAATAATAAAACGTCAAAAATTGATTAAAACATTATATGTATAATATACGTATTATATACCGGGTGTCTGGAAAATGGCGGATTAACTCTGCGCTACGCTCTTAACAATCTACTGGTGAGTCTGGGAAAAATAGTAAAAAAATCCTTCTCACATTTTAGTGGAGTTATAATGATTTTAAAATTGATTCTTTTGCTACGTTTAACAACTAAACAACTCACTCATTATCACAATAACTAAATAGTAATAAAAATTTTAGTTAATATTTTTCTCATCCATGACCATGTTTAATTACCATTTCAGCTAGAATGCACAAAGATATGGCTGTGTTGTTTTTGTAATAGTTTGAGAAGATTCCATTTGACAACAATGTTTGCTTGATATAAAGCAAATGTGGATTTCAGTCACCATCGTTACTAAGAAACCAGAAAGTAAGCCGGAGGTATTCACGCATTAGGGATATGCTGAGTTGCCAATTTTACTTTTATAAAATTACTTTTTTTTCGTAATCTACATCATAAAGAATTTTTCTATTATTTTTTTGGGACTCCCGAAACCCCTGTATATAACGTACTGAAGAGTGAATCCGCCATTTTCCAGATATGCGGTATAGCAAATTCACGAGTTCTTGGACATGTGGAATTTGTTCCAACTTTTAGCTTTTGTTGGCCGACGTTATTTAAACCTTCTTCAGGGATTAAAATCTACCTAAATTTACACTAAAACAGATTAAAAGTACAATGACTAAAATGTGGTAACACGCTATTCCTACTTAACACCACGTAGTTACTTTATTTTTAATGTATTTCAGTGTAACCTTTTAACCCCTGACGAAAGTTTAAATAAATTTTAAATTTTAGTACTATTTGGATTATGGGTAGCTTTCTTAAAGAACGCAAGTTGTGCTAAAACGGACAAAAGAATTGCCTACCTCCAAGAAATCTTATCCAATATGAGAAGCACTAAGATGTACGTTTGGGAGCAGTATGCCGAAAAGAAAATAACTGCTATCAGAAAGTAAGAATTTTGTCTCTACATATGCATCTTTGTAATATCTTTGTTCAACTTGCAGGGAGGAAATCAATTTCTATTTTAAAGTTATTATTACTTTATTCGGTTCGATTGTATTGGGAATAATAGTCGTAAATGTAACATTTTTTCTAGTACTGACGATGTATGTTTGGTTCGATCTGCAACTATCGACAGAAACTATATTCTTTATAATTGGTATCTTCGGAAATTTATCTTTTACTCTCAGTATTTGTTTTCCATACGCAACTTTTTCTTTCTCACAAGTAATTGTTGCCATTAAAAGAACGCAAACCTTAGTGGAACAACTGGAAGTTCAAAGTGAATCAATTAAATGCTGCGAAAAAAATTACCCCAGGATTAGACTGAAGGATGTTACAGTTAGTGTAGGCGATAAAATAATCTTGAACAACGTCAGCTGCACCATGGACAAAGGATTAACTTTAGTTACAGGAGTCGCCGGTAGTGGAAAAAGTTTTTTGTTAGTGACTCTTTTAAAAGAATTTGAAGTGTCTAAAGGTGATTTAGTTGTCGAAGGAATAATATCATATGCTTGTCAAGAATCGTGGTTGTTTCCTTCAACGATTAGACAAAACATAATATTTGGAAGTAAATATGAGCACAAACGTTATCAAGATGTGATAAAGGCATGTGATTTGCAATATGATTTTGATTTATTGGAAAAGGGAGATTCCACCGTGGTGGCAGATCGTGGAATTAATTTGAGTAAAGGACAACAAAGTCGGATAAAACTAGCTAGAGCTATATATAAAGAAAGCGACATTTATTTACTCGATGACTGTTTATCTAGTCTAGATCCACCAGTAGAACGTTTTATTTTCACAAATTGCATTCTAAAATTTCTGCACAACAAAATCGTACTTTTAGTCAGTCATAATAAAAATTTAATACCATACGCCAATAAAGTTCTAAAGTTATCTGAAGGACACCTAGAGTTCGTAAAAAATGACTACCCTGCACAAATTGATGACCTAGTTGTAACTATTTCAAAAGCAAATGTGCACAAAGAAGAAAGTGAAACTAAAGACGAAGAAATTTCTGACGAAGAAAAATTAATTTCTGAAAAAAAATCAAATAAAATTTATGGAGAAAATAAAATTGTGGGAGGAGTATGTTTTAAGGCATATCAAAAATGTGTAAATATGGGTGGCAGCGTGTTTCTATTAGCAATATTTTGCTTTTTTTTCTTAACTCAGTTGTCAGTTAGTTACAAGGACAATCTAGTTCGCAACTGGTAACTTATTAGTGTAAATAAGTCACTTTCTATTATTTTATATAATTTTTAGGGCTAACCTAGAGAACACAATTTCAGAAATCAACAACAGTGGTTTGAATAATTCCACTTTGATACGAGAACGTAATGAGTTTACCTTTAAATTCGCTTTTGCGGTAGCTGCAATATCTCTTACTACGCTAATCAGAGCGGCATCACTTTTTTTCTTCTGTAAAAAAGTTTCGATTAAATTGCATAACAAAATGCTGAAAAATATCCTCAATGTATCTCTGGTGTTTTTTGATAGTACGTTCATTGGGAACATAGTCAACAGATTTTCAAAAGACTTGGTTGCTGTTGATGAATGTATCCCGCTTCCTCTCCATCATTTAACCGCTGTAAAATTTTCAAATTTTAAATTTGCACAAATTGTCACTGAATTTACATTACAGATCGTTTTTGAAACTGCTGGAAACGTGGTAATGATAGCTTCCACAAGCATAACATTCCTAATACCAACTTCACTCCTCTTTACAAGTTTTGCGTTCTTGAGATATGTTTATTTAAAGAGTGGGAGGGCATTAAAACGAATGGATGCTTCAAGTGAGAACAAATCGGTTTCTTTTACGTAAAGTGTTAGGCCATGTTTATTCTTCTAGCAAAAAGTCCAGTGATTGGTTACTTAAATGCTACTATGGAAGGACTGCTATCAATAAAAGTTTTCGGTGCAGAAAATATCTTGAAGGAGGAATTTGAAAAACACCATAATCTTTACAATTCTGCGTCGTTTTCATATTTCGCTTGTACAAAGGCTTTTGTGTTTGCAATAGACTTATGTGTAGCGATGTTTGTCACAGTAGTTATTGTTTGGTTTGCAGTTTTTAACGGAGGTACGTTAACTATTTAGCCTATAGGTACTAACTGAAATTTTACATTTCAGGCGTTTTACCTGCAGACTTTGGACTTGTAGTTTCCCAAGCACTAGTAATGGGAACTGTGTTCTATTACGCAGTGTCTAAAGAAACTGAAATAGAAACTCAAATGACTTCTGTGGAACGTGCCATTGAATACACTGCAATTGAAACTGAGGCAAAAACGGGTTTACAAATAAAAAACTGGCCTAAAGAAGGCGAAATTAAATACGAAAATGTATTCGTTTCAGTGGATAAATCGAATACCTATTTGCTAAAAAATCTAAATTTTTTTGTTACGCCAAAGGAAAAGATTGGACTTGTTGGACGTACGGGTAGTGGAAAATCATCTGTCGTTGCTGCTTTGTTTCGTTTATATGGATACGAGGGCAAAATTACAATAGACGGCATTGATATTAAAACTTTATCGTTAAGTTTTCTAAGGTCGTGTATTTCTGTAATTCCACAAGATCCCATTTTATTTGATGGCACCCTTCGAGATAATATAGATCCCGAGCGAAAACACAGTGATGAAGAGATATGGAGCGTTTTAGAGACAGTAAAATTTAAAACATTGCTGAATATGCTACATTTACATATTAACGAATTTAAATTAACTTGTGGTCAAAGACAACTGATCTCTTTAACCAGAGTCTTGTTATCCAACAATAAGATCTTAGTGCTAGATGAGTTGATTGAGAACGTAGATTCTGAAACTGCAGACTTAATATCTGATATAATCGACAAAAATTTTGCTTCATGTACGATTATCAAAATAGCACACAAATTAAAGTTTGTTATGGACTGCAAAACAATTTTAGTGATAGACAATGGTGAGATCGTCGAATGTGGTAGTCCTGATTCTTTATTAGAAAATAAGAATGGATTATTCTATAAAATGGTTTTAAATTCCACCATGGGTATCGAGGGATAATTTCAACAAATTTAATTAATTTAATTACTCTTATACTATTTATTTATACAAATATACACTTATACAGGGTGTTTCTTTTATTTGATACAACCACTGTAACTTTTTTATTCTTAAAGATAAACCTGTAGTTCTTTGAAAAAATGTATAATTTTAAAAGATCTATGTGATGGCAATCTCACATTTATATTATCACTTCCGGTAGAACCGGAAATGACATCAACTTTATTTTTTTATGGAACACTAGATATATTTTTTCATAAATGGAAAGACTGATTTTTTCTAAAAATCAAAGGCAACCAATATTTTTAAATTCAATGCTTAAAAAGTTATTAAATAAAATACACGAACACTTCATATTAATTGATGACAATCTAGTAGCTTGAAAAATTGACATATATGTCATTTATTCACATAGGTGATCTTTTAAAATGATACAAATTTAGTCAAAGAACGGTATGTTTATTTTTTTAAATAAAAAAATTACAGGGGTTGTATCAAATAAAAGAAACACGTGGTACATATATAAAACTGTATGAGTTGTTTCATTTTTTTTGTTAAAGGTCAAACTTAATTTTTGATATTTTGATTTTATTAATGTGAATAAATTATTATCTTATCAATAATGTTTTTGTGTTCTTATATTTTATGGGCAGAATCGCTTTTACATAGAAAATCAATACTGTGCAACTTATACTTTGTAGACTTGGTGCCCGCCAGTTCGATCTTGGCATTTCCAAAATGAATCATAACAACGAAACGTCTCTTGGTTAAGGGACCCAGAGTCAGTCATAGTCGGCACCTTTACAATCGATTGGAGGCCTTCCCTCCATTTAATCTAGCTCTGGAAATACTGAATAAATTATAGTCTGGAGCTAGCGCTTGTTGAGTCGATTGAAAAATTGCGACATTTTATTTTGAAAACCAAAAATTAAATTAATTTTTTTTGGTCACCTCTTAAACTACCTTATTTGTAACGGAATACTCAATTATAAACTGACTTTTAAAACACGTTGGCATGATTGGCATGGACGACGTGTTTTTAAAACACGCTACCAATAACGACAGCATCAATTGTTCATGTACTCAAATTAATGCAAAACAATAATAAAACTATCATCAACTGCTGATAAAATTTAGCATGAATAAGAAACACTGGAAACGTAACTTTTCATTAATGTGAAAAAAAATCACATTTATTAAAATTTTGCGCTTTGAAGAAGATACGATGATTTTTCTAGGTGTGACACTTATACGAATCGAAGTAATAGCAGTTGCAAAAGTTAAATCATGCGATGTGTCATAAATCTCTGCAACTCCAATATTCTCAACGACATTTGCGGTCACAGTCATGTAGGTGACCGCAAATCTCCTTCTTCATGTAGCATGTCCTTTCAGAACGTTGGTCATCATCATAGCTATTCTGAAGAGTGTGTTCTTATCTACATCGTCAACAAGGTCAACGGCAATACAAAATCCCACAGTTTAGATTAAATCTAGAAATGTAAAGGAAAACTCATCTTCTTGCCTCAGTAGGCATCTTCTGTAACGGAAAAAACTGTGATCTTGGGCAGGGCCGTCTTAACTAGGGGGTTAGGACGTTTAAAAAATTTTATACCTAATAAAAATTGACGTAGTGTCGGAGCGTGGCAACAGTACCCCGTCTAAAACAGTGCGCCCACAGTACGCACGTCATACGAGGGTAATTTGATAAATTGTCAGCCTAAGTTCTTTCCACTGTACAAAACAATTTTTTATTACCATGGTAACAGTCAACAACTTATTAGAAATGTCACTGTCAAATTTGACTTCGAAAAGTTCAAGCATTCCTGTGCACAAGAATTTTGAAAAAGCCATATGTAGTGAAAATGTAGAAATCAGTAAAGTTGAATATAGATAGACTATTAAGTACTTGTGTTTAAAGTGGTTAACGGGTAAAGAAATTTACGATGATATGTCTAAAACACTTGGTGAAGTTTGTCCTTCTTCCGCCACTGTCAAAAATTGGGTTGCTTCTTTCAAAAGGGGAAAAGTTTCGGTTCAAATTGACGATAGACCAGGAACACCGATTTTGGTGAAAATGTTGACGCAGTGAACGATAGGATTTTGTCAGATCGTCGAATTTCCATAAAACAGATATCTAAGACACTAAAGATTTTCTGCGAACGTGTGCATCACATCAATCACGCCGAAATGAACATGAAAAAAATTTCGGCAAAATGCTTGAATTCTGATCAAAAGCGACCAAGAGTGGAAACTTAGCTCTCTTTGTGTGTCCTTTTTTGATGAGGACCCTAACTTTTTAAACCGTGTTATTACCATGGATGAAACCTGGCTATATTTCTACCATCCAGACACAAAGCAGCAGTCCATGGAATGGAGACATTCTGGTTCTCCAAGGCCCAGGTCGCTTACGCTCGGGAAAAATAAAAACAAGCATTGGTGACAATTATATTTGGATCTCCGAGGATTAATTTTTTCATAGGGCTAACTCTCTAAATATACGACTTAATACTTATTAAAAGCACCTATTTGAAGAAACCGCACATAAATTCCTGTCAGCCTACTGGACAAATTACCAACGTTTAATTGTTATTTGTGATAAACTGATAAGTTAGTTTTTTGTTTAATTTTAAAATTTAAAGTAGTGTGTAAGTAATTTGTTTTGAGATATCATGACTCATGATGTAATAAAATCTTTAAACGTAAGTCACTTATTATTGTATATTTACATAAGTGACAGAGTTAGGGGCATAAATCTAGTGGGTTACGTTAAAAGTGTATACAGTTTAGCATAAATTTGCAATATAACATTGTTGAATGGAATAGTTTATGTTCCTTATTTATGCCACATGCCAATTTATCAAGTGTAGCCTTAAAAATGTTACATCACTTTTGATAATATAGTACTAAATGCGTCACTACGAAGATTTCATGAATTTCAAGGAGTTGAATGTTGCCACACAAGGCTAAATAAATATCATTGTATGCTTTTCCGTCACATAACAAAATTCTTTGGGTATATACCCATAAACTCTTCGAATGTATACATAAAGATTTGCAAAATACCTACAAAATGTTTTGTTTACAGTAAACCCCTGGAAAATTTCGGTTCGGTAGTATTGGAATCACCGAAGCAGAACTGCGTTGTATCCATTGCTGACAAAAGAAAAGAAAAGTCCACAATCAAGATGTTAATTAAAAAATTCGCAGCCCTTCAAACTTCTTTGCATATTTTACATCATTGTAAATTGCAGGAAATAAAACTATACAATAAAAAAAATAACCTTTGAAGCACACATTACTCTACTTAAAACAGAATGCCTACAACGTTTTGACATCTTGAAGGTCATCGAACATCATTCATGGAGGGTGCGATGAGCAAGTTATTCTATAGATATTTAGATTACTTATACGGCCTAAACTGGACTACGCAGCCTTTTAAGTCCACACATACTGACGAGAACTTCACCTAACGTCATTCGTAAAGCTAAGGGTGATAATGTTACTATTAAATATATTCGCAACATTCCACAGATTGTTTTTGCATCATCAGGCGATCGCAATAACTTACCTTTTTCTAATAATAGTAATTTAAATTAACAGAGCCCAACAGTTACTCAAAACTTTACCTTTACTATCAAAATGTTCGAGGGTTATGCACAAAAGTTGATGAAGTATATGCTAGCTGTAGTCAATTGGAATATAATGTTGTGTGTTTATCTGAAACATGGTTGAATTCTAGTGTAAGTTCATCTGAAATTTTTTCCAATAATTATACGGTATTTAGGGATGATAGAAATGTAGATACTGGTCGTATTAAAGGCGGGGGAACACTCATTGCTATTAATAATGAACTTAAATCGCATATACTAGATTTAAGTACTGTTACCCTTTCTGTTTCTCTTGTTGATTTGGTAGGTTGTAAAATTATTCTGAGTAGGACTTCGTTATTTATTTTTTGTGTGTACATTCCACCTGATATTTCCGTTGAAGATTTTGAAATGTTTTGTGATTCTTTTGAGCATTATCTCATTAACTTAAATGGCACTGTTATTATCGTTGGTGATTTTAATGTTCCCAACTTGGTGAAGGATTGCAGAGGTAGAAAAAGTACAATTATACGAAATTTAATGGCTTACACCAATCTTAAACAAGCTAACACGATAGTGAACAGTAATGATAGAATTCTGGACCTTGTGATTCATAGTGAAATAAATTGTGCAGTTTATCGTGACTTTAGCCCTTTGGTGCCAGAGGACCCTCACCATCCATCATTAAGCGTAGAATATCAGTTAAATATAGAAAAAGTGTCAAACTTTTCTGCATGTTCGACACTTAAACAGTATAACTTTAAAAAAGCGAATCTTATAGAATTATATGATGCAATACTTAACATTGACTGGTCTTTTCTTGTAAACTGTACTGACATTAACTCAGCTTGTGATGAATTTTACAAACATATTTATGATTTATTTGATAAATATGTTCCATTGGTTAGATTTGGTAAATTGAAGTTTCCATCTTGGTACTCCCGCGAATTACGTTATCACTTATCACATTAAAACCAAAAATACTCTGTTTTTATAAAAAGTTTAAGAAATGTCGCTCTTTTGAGTGTTACATGGCATACTCTGATCAAAGGAGATATGTTAAACAAATAATTAATCGTGATTATAAATTATATATATTTAACGAAGGTTGAAAATTCTGTTCTATCTGATCCGAATTATTTTTGGTGCTTTATTAAAAACAAAAAAGGTAGAACGGCTGTCCCAGGTACAGTTTTCGATGAAAACCAGGAGTTTAATACACCTCAAAAAATTGTTGATGGTTTTGAAAATTCTTTTTCTGACATTTACAAGGGTAATACTGGTCTAAAAAAGGATAACGATACACTATCTCATAATTCTCCTCCATTGATTACCATTTCTAATTTAAGTGAAGAGGAAATTTATAGTGCTATGAGGAGATTTAAACCTAATTGTGTGTCAGGGTTTGATCAGATTCCTTCTTTTATTGTTAAAGATTGTGCTATAGCGCTTGTTAAACCTTTGTGTTTCATGTTTAATTTAGCTTTAAATTCAGAAACGTTTCCAAACAGCTGGAAAGATGCAAGAGTTTGCCCAATTTTTAAAAATGGTGATGTGTCAAATATAAAAAATTATCGACCAATTTCGTTATCATCAAATTTATCTAAGGTGTTCGAAAGGGTGATTCGTAATCGCGTGTTTCCTAAAATAAAAAATTTAATAACTACATCCCAACATGGTTTCATGACCAATAGATCAACAATATCAAACTTGGTTTGTATCTCGCAATTTCTATCTGAATCGCTAGATAGGAGAAGGCAGGTGGATGTGATATACACTGACTTCTCAAAAGCGTTCGATTGTGTTCAGCATGACATATTGCTCTCTAAAATGTCAAGTCTTGGCTTTTCGGAAACATTATTAAATTTTTTTAAATCATATCTTAATCATAGAACTAACTACGTATCCCTTGGCGGTTACCTGTCTGATAAGTACATAGCCAATACTGGCGTGCCTCAAGGATCGATATTGGGGCCACTTTTATTCAATATTTATATCAATGATGTTGTTGATTTATTTGTCAATTCGCAGTGCCTTTTATATGCAGACGACTTAAAAATTTTCAGAATTGTGTCAAGTAGGGAGGACTGCCTACAACTTCAATCTGACATTAACCAAATTTTCAAATGGAGTGAGAACAATAATCTAAAATTAAATCTAGCAAAATGTAAAGTGATTTCCTTTACTAGGAATGAGAATAAAATTATATTTGATTATAGCGTTAACACCGTTCAACTGCACAGATGTTCCACATTTAAGGATCTTGGAGTAATTTTTGATCAGAAATTGTCATTCATTGATCACTTGTGTTACATAACTAATGCAGCTTTAAGAACTCTTGGTTTTATAGTACGTAACTCCCGAGATTTCCATAGTGTGCCCGTGTTAAAAATCCTGTATTTTTCGTTAGTTAGATCCAAATTAGAATATGCTAACATTATTTGGTCCCTATACTACATATATCAAAAAATCAACTTAGAAAAGGTTCAAAGGAGGTTTTTAAAATTATTATGTTTTAGAACTGATAATACCTATCCCAGTCGTGGTACTAATCAAAAATATTTACTGGAACGTTTCGGGTTTCAGTCACTGCACTGTAGAAGGTTAATAGCTAGCATATGTTTTGTAGTTAAATTGTGTCGTAATAGAATTGATTGTCCACATCTTTTATTTCTAATTCAGTTCTTTGTACCTTCATTTTATACACGGGACAAGAGTATGTTCAAACTTAGACACTACAAAACCAATCTTGGTATGAAATCACCTATTAATGTAATGTGTCAGAACTTTAATAAAATTTCTCAAAAATGTGACTTATACAATGATAGCCTTGGTTCCATTGTTAATTTTGCCAGGGGTTATTTTGATTCAATTGCTTAAGAGCGAATGTTAATTTATTTCCATATTGTTACACACCAGCACACTGTATGTCGAATTTAACTTAATTTCTAAATTAATTAATTAACTGCGGTTGTATTTGATTATTTTAGTAGTATTTTAGTTTTTTTTTATTTTAGTACTCTTAGTTTAGTTTAACATTAATTAACTTGTAATTACCCTGTTAATGGAAAATTTCTGTTGGGTAATAAATTTATTATTATTATTAATATTATTATATGTATAAAGTATGTTTCCATACAATATACTTTATGTTGCTCAGTACGCAACACAGTGCTTCCCCAAATTGAGTTTACAAGAAGATTTTTTTTTATTTAAATAATGCAGTTTTTTTTTAATAAACCAATATTGATCCAGATAGTTTAATTAAAAAAAAATAATTTTTCTTTAAACGTCAGAAAAACGGACCTTTATATGCCATCATACACATAGTAAAAGACGCATTTCAATACCATGTCTATAAAAATACTTTTTTTGCCGCCTTTCTTTCTCCTGTCAATAAATCAAGATTATCACGCGTACCTGGTAAATGCTGACAGTTATGTTAATTAGACGCGTGAAGAAATATATTTGAATCATTTATTGAGGTAAATATAAAGCCAATTATACTTTTTAATCATTTATCACTATTACTACTATTAAAAAGTGATGTTATGCTGTCAAATTATTTTCCAAGGTTAACAACCCTTTGAACTGAAATTGCAAAGGGTTTCCTTGGATTACCTGAATCCTGAATCATTATTTTCCAATTGAGTGTGGATATTTTCTAAGATAAATCCTTATTTCTTTCTATTTTTAATTGCATTTTTGTTTTTATCTATAATTGCCGGCCTCGCGTACTCGGCCGTCAAACCTACAGATTCGCCACGAAAAGTCTCATTTTCGCTCCTAATAAAACAACATACTATTTTGTTGTTTATTTAAATACACGTTGATACTTCTGTAGTTTTTATTGCAGTAATAGTTACCTATATTAAGTAAACAATAAATTTAATTTTTTTGACTTTTTTTTTGAAAACCATAAAAAATTCCTCCTGTAAACTCAACTCACTGACTATCATCAATGCAAGCTTTACAGCATTTTAAGTGGTCGACTTTGTTAATTTGTAAAATCTACAATGTACTTTTGAGAAGCCTAAAATTCAGTGAATTAACGACATCGTGGACTGGATTCCTGCATATCGTGGAATACCAAGAACAGGAAAGTAAAAGCAGATGCTGCCGTCCAGTCAAACTGTCCCCTGAACATGCAACACTTACAGACCATCAAATAAAATACAGTGATCTTATCCCCATACATCGATCGATAGTGGTATAGTACACACTAAATTGCATATACAGAATAGACTCATAGTCATACCAAACTACAAGCCATCCATCCTACAATATCGGGTAAAACCTTCCCTGATCTCCGAAAAAAGAGAATTGTGAGTCGACTTCGCATTGCGCATACAAAAGTTATATATGGCTTACGGCTACCTCCTCGCCAAACCATTATCTCCACTTTGCACTCACTGTCGAACTCCACTTGCAGTGCCACAACACCTGTTACAAGTCAAGTGAACATAATTTAAAGTGTTATAAAATTATATTTTAACCCGTACTGGTGCGAGCTAGTGTAAAATCGTCCCAAGGCACAAATGCACGAAATATTCAAGGTAGTCTGTGCAACAGAATTAAACGAGGCTAACTACTAATAAAAAGTTATCGTAAGTAATTGTTAAAAAATTCAAGACTGCTGTGAGCTAGACATATTAAAAAAAATCAGCACCCACAAACAGCTGAAAAATGGACATCAGCGGGAAAAAAGAAAGAAGACACAGCAATCCTAGAAAAGATGCCAGTTTCTTTTCAAAAATAACATTCTGGTTGGTAGTTTGAAAAAACAAAAAAAAAAGAATTAAACCTATTTTTAAAGGTACACAGTTGAAATATTTAAAAAAGGCTTTAAACGCGAACTAGAAGAAGACGACCTTTACGAGGTGCTTCCTGAATTTGAATCATGTAGCCTCGGAGATCGAATCGAACATGAATGGGATCAACAAAAACATCGACCAAATGCGATGTTTGTAATACTTTTGAGAATGTTTGGACCTTACTACTGCATATTAAGTTTAAATATGTTGTTTCACATCACTTTCCAGTAGGATTGCTCTGTTTGACTAATGTAGATCATAGCTTCTAAGTATTACGGTTGTAGTGTCGTTCAACCAATGATAATAAGCAGACTTGTTTTTCTGTATGTACCTGGCCGAAAAGAACTGAATGTAACGAACATCTATTTGTACAGTACACTTCTGATACTGTTACTCATTGCCGACGTGGTTTGCAGAGAGAATGTTTTCTTTCTCACAGAAAACCTTATCATTAAGATTCGCACTGCATTTTGTACGCTCGTTTATAGAAAATTGCTAAAACTTCCAGGAAGTCGTCTGCAAGATGTATCCTTCGGGAACATTACTAGCCTCATAACTAGAGATATTAACGCTTTTGACCAATTTTTTATTAATTTCAGTTATGCATGGAGTGGATTTATTATAGTTATTATAACGTGTTGCAATATGTATCAAAATATTGGTTTTCCGACAGTAATTGTAATTTTTGCGGTGGGTATATTGGTTTCAGTTCAAGGTATGTACTTGATGTTATATATACATTCGTAGATGAACCAATACGCGCGCTCTTCGATATCTCATTAGTCATTAATTTATTAGACATCGAATAAAATTAAGACTTTATTCGCATCTTGCTCTGTCTGTTAAATAACTTTCCAAGCTAGGTATAAAAAATTCCAGTTTTATTGGTGATCTAACAAAGCGTACCTATACATTTGTTTAACTTTTGTTTACCAAAATTTCAATTATTAGTAATTTTTGTGGGTTTGGCAACCTAATAAGAGGCTACTCAGTAGCAACTTGTAAAAATAAATGGGGAGTTCTGTTTAATTTGGTTTTTTAAATTATTTTGCTCAAAAAGCAGTACAACTCCGGGCGTTGATCTTTCTTCCACCTATAGTAAGCAATGACATGTTGAGGAGCTCGCATTTATTATACTTTAACCAGAACCCTTGTGCGGAGTCTGCCTCAGGCGTCTATTAACTTCCACTAATTTTGATGAAGGTTTAACCACTCACAGTTGGAAACTTGTCTACTTACCCCGATCTCTGCCTTAAGTTATACAGATGTTAAACCAACCATCTCGACTGCGGCAAGAAGTCAATAGACGCCTAAGGCAGACTACGCACAAGAGTTCTGGTCAAAGTATAACTGACTGTACATTTCTAATTATTTTGAAAAAAGTTTGAAAATGCCTGCGTTTTATTCCAAAGTAAGGATTAAATGTAGACAAACTACCTTCACTATTATATATGATACTCGTATGTAATAACTAGAGCTGTGCGGTCGAAATTTATTTACCCCCACTATCGGCCCACAGTGCCGATCGCTACAGCCTTGCCTTGCTCGCTTCTCGCTTTTCAGTTGTGGATTATTTTTGATAATTCACACAAATAGTTTTATTGTCAGCGAGACGGACACCTGAACATTATTAAAATTATTATTACTCTTATTTCGTGGATATGGATTTTAAAATCATCAACTGACATACCGTTAACATTATTTTTGGCGTAATTTTCTTCGCGACACATAACGTCGGTTGCAAGCCTCTGGCCTGCAGGAGTGGGGGTCAATTCGCAGCGTTTAAATTTCGACCGCACAGCTCTAGTAATAACAAATGTTTGTGAATTTTTAGTGTTAGCTGGAGTGTGGATAGTTTTGTTCAAACAGGCGAGTTGTAAAAAAACAGATAAAAGGATTGTCAGCCTGCAAGAAATTTTGCTAAATATGAGAAGTACTAAACTGTATGGATGGGAAAATTATGTGGCTAAGAAATTAATTACCCTCAGAAAGTAAAAAAATACATATACCTTAGAATACCAGCACTAGTTCCAATTAATTCCAGAGACGAAACAAATCTATACCTTAAAATTGTTATTGTTTTATTCACTTCGATAGTGTCTGGAATATCAGTCACTAATGTAACATTTTGTTTAGTTCTGATGATGTACAATTGGTTTGGTCAACAATTATCAGCAGAAACTATATACTTTATTAATGGTGCTTTTATAAACTTATCTTACAACTTTAGTGTGATTGCTCCATATTCAATATTTATGGGCGCACAAGTAATTGGTGCTGTTAAAAGAATGCAAACTTTAGTTCGACAACTGGAAACAGAAAAGAAACCACCAAAATTATTGGAAACTCTTCACCCGAGAATTGAACTGAAAAATGTTGCTGTCACTGTCGAGAATAGAATAATTTTTGAAGACGTTAGTTTTGATACAGATAAAGGATTAACTTTAGTTACTGGAGCTGCCACCAGCGGCAAAAGTATTCTCTTAATGACTCTTTTAAAAGAAATTGAAATATCCAAAGGAGAATTAATTGTTGAAGGAAGGATGTCGTACGCACCTCAAGAACCGTGGTTATTTCCTTCAACTATTAAACAAAATATCATATTTGGAAGCGAGTATAACCCTAAACGTTATCGAGATGTGATCAAAGCGTGTGATCTACAATATGATTTCGATTTGTTAGAAGACGGAGATTCAACCGTGGTGGCTGATCGTGGGATTAACTTGAGTAAAGGACAGCAAAGCAGGATAAATATAGCTAGAGCTATATATAAAAACAGCGACATCTATTTATTAGATGATTGTTTGTCTAGTTTGGATCCACTAGTTGCACGATTTATTTTTACTACCTGTATATTAAAATTTTTGCGCAACAAGATCGTATTTTTAGTCAGTCATAATACAAATTTAATGCCATATGCCACTAAGGTTCTAAAATTAAGTAATGGATGCGTGGAGTCAAATGAAAATACATGTATACAAAAAGTTGATGATTTAGAACAGATTAGTATTTCAAAGGGCAAAATATGTTACAATAATAATGAACCTGGAAACGGAGATTATGGAATTTCTGATGAGAAAACGTTGCTTGCCGCAGAAACGGCGAAGCGAGTGTATGGCGAAAACAAAAATACGGGATCTGTATCTTTCCAAATTTACAAACAATTTGTAAATTTAGGTGGTGGAAAATTTTTGTTAATTATATTCGGTTTTTTTCTGCTAACTCAGTTATCTTTGAGTGTTAAAGAAAATTTAGTCCGTGACTGGTAAGTCGCTAATTAAAAAATATTCGTGAATTAAACAAAAGTTTAGGGCTAACTTGGAAGATGAAATATTGGAAACAAATAACAGTAGTGCAAGTAGTTCTCACTACGTAACTTTACTACAAGAACGTAATGTTTTGAAATTTAAATTTGTTCTAGCAGTAACTGTACTGTGTGCTACTACAATGATCAGAGCAACGACACTGTTTGTTTTTTGTAGATCAGTATCAATTAAGTTACACAATAAGATGCTTAAAAATATTCTCAATGCCTCAATGAGATTTTTTGATACAACATTTATAGGAAATATGGTCAATAGGTTTTCAAAAGATCTGGCTAATATTGATGAAAATATTCCAATTCCTATTCATCATTTAACAGCGGTAAATCATTCAGTTATCGGCTTATACTCTACCTTTTAATTTGTGTTGCAGATTATTTTCGAAAGTGCTGGAAATCTAGTAATTATAGCTTCCACAAATGTGAGACTGTTAATACCAATTTTCCTACTTTTCATAAGCTTTGCACTGTTAAGATATATTTACGTAAAAACTGGAAGACCGCTTAAACGATTAGATGCTTCAAGTAAAAAACAAGAATTTTGACATTATATAGACAACTGTAACAAATTATTCTTGCAGCAAAAAGTCCATTGGTTGGTTATTTAAATGCCACATTGGAAGGATTAGTCTCGGTCAAAGTTTTCCAAGCAGAAAAAGTTTTGAAAGAAGAATTTGAAAAATATCACAATGTTTATAATTCTGCCTCATTTTTACACGCTGCTTGCTTAAAGGCCTTCGTATTCGCTTCAGATCTATGTGTATCCATTTTCGTCACCATAGTCGTTTTTCAGTTCGCAATTTTCAACGAAGGTATCAACAGTTGTTATTGCGTCAGTAGTCACAGAAAACATGTTTTAGGTGTTTTACCAGCAGACTTTGGACTTGCAGTTTCCCAGGCATTCATCATGGGAACAACACTGTATTTTGGACTGTACAAAGGAGTTGAAATAGAAACGCAAATGACTTCGGTGGAACGTGCCATTGAATACACCACAGTGAAAAACGAACCAAAAACGGGTTTAGAAATTAAAGACTGGCCTAAAAGAGCGGATGTTGAGTACGAAAATGTGTCCTTATCAGTAGATAACTCAAAAACTTGCGTGCTCAGAAATATAAACTTTTCCATTAAATCACCAGGAAAGATAGGAATCGTCGGACGTACAGGTGCTGGAAAATCATCTATAATTAGTGCGCTGTTCCGCTTATATGAATTTGATGGCAAAATCGTCATAGATGGCATTGATATTAAAACTTTATCGTTAAGTTTTCTCAGAACTCGTATTTCCGTAATACCACAAGATCTGATACTCTTTGACAGTTCTCTTCGAGATAACATAGATCCGGGACAAAAATACAAAGATGAAGTGATATGGAATGTTTTAGAAACCGTAAAATTAAAAGAATCTTTGGAAACGTTGGACGTGAACATTAAAGAAATGAACTTAACTTGCGGTCAGAAACAACTGATTTGTTTGGCTAGAGTTTTGGTATCTAATAACAAAATCTTAGTACTGGATGAGATGATCGAAAACGTCGATTTTGAAACAGAAAATCTAATCTCTACTGTCATCAACAAACATTTTTCGTCGTGCACCGTCATTAAAATAGCTCACAAGTTAAAATTTGTAATGGACTGCGATAGAGTTTTAGTATTAGACAAAGGTGAAATTGTTGAATATGATAGTCCCAAATCTTTGTTACAAGACAAGACAGGGCTGTTTTATAAAATGGTTCACAGTTCTAACCTTCAATAGATGGCTTTAAATATCGTAAGTGTTAAATTTAGCAAAGGCAATTTTGAAAATTGTCCAACCTTTTATCGATTTTACTAAATAATAATAATAAATATAAGTTGTAAATGTCTATATGAATAAATGTTAGAAGCAAGGTACCTAGTTAGTCGTTTATTCAGACCTGAGACAGACGTGGTGACAGGCAACATCACAAACTTCCCACTTCGAATTCGATTTCCATAATTTCCCAACTGCGAGAAAAATTACCAAAAAATTTCGAAATGTTAAACAGCATTTAAAAGTAAGAGTACACGTAGTGCACGAGTACTTTTTGTATGTCTCGGGAAGCACGAGTGTGTGACATTTCGAAATTATTTGATAATTTTTCGAGAAAGAGGGGAATTGCATGATGATATTTTTGTAATTGAATTGAAATTACAAAGTTGGTTTTGACTGCGGTTACCATGGCACTGATGCTGTTTAGTTTTTTCCTATTTTTTCGCCGTATTGTCAACGGTAGAAATAATGAATAAGCGATTTAGTGATAAATCTTTATCAGATACTGGGGATAGTATTGTAAGCAGTGTTCCGCAGAATTCAAGAAAATCATTCTTCTGTGTGGAGTCAGTTTGAAAATTTTTGTTCTGAACGGAATTATATTTTACAAGCAAGTACTACACCCGAAGAAATCAGCAATATCGTAATGGATGCAGCATGTAACATGAAGAAAGTCGATGGATCAGACTACAAAGAAAGCTGAGTGAAAACGATGAGGAATGTGATTGCAAAACTTGACCAGGAAATGTTTTTCAACGTATATCAAATTTCTATTAATCCATTCAAGGATTTATGTTTCAAAAAAGCCCGAAATGCTCGAGATGCCAAACGTAGAGAACTGCAGGCACAAGCTGATAAAAGGAAAGTTAGTTCAGTAGCACTAACAGAAGAAGAATTAATGAAATTGTATTTAAGTAGAAGAAAATACCGATGGATTGCAAAAAAAAATATTTTTTTAGCGTGTTATGAATTAGCGTGGCGAGGTGGAGAGGCAACGAATTGTTTAATTAAACATTTTAAATATGAAACAGACAACAATGGAAAAAGAACAGGACGTATTGAATGCAATCCGATTTTTAGTAAAACAAAACAGGGAGGTAATCTTCGTTTGGAAGATAGCAAGTGGTTAACAACAAATAAGGCTGATCTTTATATCTGTCCCGTACGTGTTCTAACCCCGAACATAACCTGCGAGAGACTGTTTCTAACTGAATCTATATTGGAAAAATCCAGTTCCTCTGCTTGGTACAAAAATACACTCATAGGACGTAACGAAATTAACAAGTGGACGAGGTGTGCTACAGAAGAAATAGGTGTAGACACGAAGAAAAATAACGAACCATAGTACCAGATCGACAGTTGTTTCACATCTCGTCAAAGCCGGAATTAGTGAACATCAGCTCATTAAAATAACGGGTAAAATCTTATCTTAAAGTGGACCAGGAACATTATAAAAAAATTGTGGATCATATGCAGGGTCGCACTGCTACACAAAATTCTATTGTGACAAGCGAAATTTTTTGTTCTGAGGGTGCAAAAAGAGACAGCTAACAAAATTGTTTACAATAACTGCATATTTCAAGTGACAACTTGCAATAATGTAAAGTTTTAATAAAATTGTAATAAATGTTTTCTAAAACACTTGCAATTTAATTTTTGAAATTTGAATTGTCAACTTTGACAGCACTGCTAATTTTGTGAAGTTGTCAAAAAATTTTCACTTATTAATTTGAGCTACAAGCGTATTATCGATGTCAAAAAGCAACCAGAACGTCAAAATTATAAAATAACTCAGTATCACGTGATCACAATTCAGTGTTCTTATTGGATCAAAAATATCAAAATGCAATTCTTACCTTAATTCATCGTAGCGTAGTTAAAAAAATTGGTGTCCAAGATCGACACCCGAAACTGAATTGCTCATTTTCTCGAATAAATGGTGCCACCAGATCTGTTTACAGTTAGTATAGTTAATAAGTAGTAGTTAAGAACTGGTAATACGCCAAGACTTTACGAATCACTGTGTTCTTCAAAAAATGAGTTGCCTGTAAAATGTTCTTTATACGTAGGTAAACCCCCCCTTTTCCGTGAAGAATTTATTTATTTATTTATTTATTTATTTATTTATTTATTTATTTATTTATTTATTTATTTATTTATTTATTTATTTATTTATTTATTTATTTATTTATTTATTTATTTATTTATTTATTTATTTATTTATTTATTTATTTATTTATTTATTTAATAACTAAAGTAATAAGTAATCAAATTCTTGCTTTTGATTTAATCAATCCAATAAATTACCTCATACATTAATTTTTTTTATCACTCTATATAAGTATTTCTAAAAACTATGAGTGCGTTGATAAACAACAGGTAAGTATAAGAGCCAATTCTGAATCAAACATGTTAAAATTTAAAGGTTGTTAAAAAATAAACGACCATTCAGATTTACGGAAATTTGCAATTTAACACACTTTAAGTTTAACAGGTTTGATTCTGAATTGCCCTTAAACTCATAATATTTTGCCTATTTGAGACAGGATTTATTCGGTAAAACTTTGAGATGACAGGTCATAATTTTTTTAGAAGGGGATAAACGAATAAATTTTGATTAACAATTTACCACGATTACTAAAACCTTGAAATGTTTGTCAAGATTTTAGAGCGTTTCCTTTTGGAGGTTACAAGTTAAATTTCAAAATGTTAAATTTTGAATCTTCTTCTGGACGTCTAGGGTGGAAACGAAACACAGATTCATATACCACCAAGTGCAGGAGCATCTTATTTTATAAAAATAAAAACAAATTTACTATTGTAAATTTTAGAGGTGACGTCGTCAAAATGTTGGAGGGGTTGATTAACCAATTTTTGGTTGGCGTTTATTCATCTACATGATAGTCTTAACATACTTACATATAAAATTTGAGAACAATCGGTCTTGCAGTTTAGAAGATTGTCTTTCTAATAAAAATCCGCGCAGACGGTTGACAGACAGACACACAGAGAAAGACAGATAGACCGACAGACAAACAGATAGACACACAGACATAAGGAAACGGGAGACCTATTTTTTCGTATTCTAGGGATCATGAAAGGTCGAGAAAACATAAGAGTAGACAGTCGGCCGATGGATTCGATTACAATACTTCCTTAGCTTACGCTCGGGACGTAAAAACGGCACACTATAAAAGAGAGACTTAATGTGGCGGACCAGAAATCCCGCCCTTAAATTAACTCTATAACTCTATTACAGGGCCAAGTCGCTCTTTCTTAATAATATCATTAATAATAATAATAATAATAATAATAATATTAATAATCACTGTTTTGTCTTATAACCCGTCAAATTTTTACATCATCAGCAGTACAATAGATACGATAATCATTATCCACCGTCAAACGAGAATTTAAATCATTTATAAAAATTACAAACAGTAATGGTCCCAAGTTTGACCCTTGACACGCACCACTTGTACAATCATATAAAGGTGACTTATAACCCACGTATTCCACATACTCAGGGGCGGCTTGTCCTATGAGGCAGGTGAGGCAGTGCCTCACCAATGAATTTTACGCTTTATTGGGATTTTTATTATTTTTTACCGACACATTTAGGCCAATAATTTGTGTCTTTTTTCTAAAATTTTAAAAATAAATAAGGAAAATTATATTATTATTTTTATCTCGGTAGGTACTCGTTGCTCCCTTAATTAAACAGCGCGCTTCAACACTCGATACAACATGTATTTTGTGACGCGAATGGGGCAGACTCGAAGCTTGCCTCTCTCTACAGCAGATCCAGAAATGATGTCGTTAATAGGCAAGCAACCTGCAATACACTCATAAGCGGCATGAGTTGAAAAAAGGCAAAATTGAGGCTAGCCTCTCATTTCCGTGCTTGCAAAAGAGATGCACAACAATATTTGCGCACGGAGAACGTGCGATTACAATGTAGGCCGTTGATTGTTCTACCATAAATCTGTGTGTGTATAAATTGATTCAAAATTTCGGACACAGAATTTTGTCTTAAAAGTGCCTACGTTTGCGTGTGTCGCGTTAGTGCTTTGTGCTTGTCATAATTTGATTTCGGTAACGTTAAATGACAATGGCAGTATGTAGTTATGGAATTAAAACGACCAGTTCCAGATTTGAGTGAATCATTAATTGATCTATAAAAAAAAATTAAAATAAATCCAGAGTATTTATATTTTATATTTTTTTCGTTTGGTTTTTTGTTATAAATCAAATTAGATTTATTTTATGTTGTATTTGATTTTTTTCTATATGTTTTCTTTAAAGTTTATTTTAATTTTGTTGTTTTCTATTGTGGTTGTTTGTTAGAAGTTATATTAGTTTTTTCTGACCACGTTTCCCTTTCCTTTTGTACTTTTGTCCTGTCATTTCCATCCTTTCCTGGCAAGAGTTCCTTATACCTTCACGTTGGTTCTTGGTGGACAGTTAAATGAGTTTACAAATTTGTTTATTTGACTAAGTAGAAAATATTTATGTAATCTTGCATTATTTATATTTTGGAGCGTTTTGTGTTTGCCTCATCAACTTTTCAAGTCAAGAGCCGCCCCTGCACATACTGCTTTTGATTTACTAAAATATTTATAAACAACTAAGTCAACCTATTCCTCTTATCGCAGGGACCAAAAAGGTCAAATTCTGGGGTCACCCTCAAACAGCTAGTCCACCTTCATTACGTAGTCGAAGGACCTCTCCACCGCGCTTTCCCTGACTATCGACTCACTGTTCACATGGCTCTTATCGTATTACCTACGGGGTGAACCGCGTAGCATTTAAGTTACCCTTCTCACCTCCCGAAGAGGCCCGTTACAGAACCGGAACCTCGGGCATGCTTTTGCGACGGCCACCGGCAAAATTCAGGCGCTAAATTTTAGAAATAAATTATAGAAAAGGCAAGGCCACAACATTAAGTATGTCATGTTAAACAGTTCACAGTTTAGCATAAATTTGCAACATATTAT